ATGAGACTCTCATGAGACTCTCATGAGTGTCTCATGAGGGTCTCATGGGAGTCTCATGAGAAAAACCCAATAATGTACAAGCGCCTTGACTACATATTGTGACTCTAGTTATTTTCAGTGGTTTTCTGTAGCCTAAACGGTTGTCGTCGATGTTCGCGCTTTCCGTTTCTCGGTACCTCCGACTGAATAACCCCACCGCCAGTTGCACTGTGAGTGACGCAGGACAAGGTGATAGCCAATGAGCTGAAAGCCATGTGTTGGTCTCGATATTGCGAGGGGTCTGGTCGACACCTTCAAAAGGCTTCGTCGAACAGCTGGCTAGGCGTCTCAAGTGAGAAATATCGCACACAGGCCACCCACTGCTGTGTCAATGATCGACGCGAGTCACAGTCAAAGTTGTCCGAAAAACTCGCGAAGACCCTGTTTTTTTTCTTTCTTTTTTTTGCCTTCTATGGACTCCCTCTACTCTGGGTGAGCGGAGAGTCCGGGGTTGTGGTGGCTATGTCCTGCCACCGGAGGTTGGCTATTTCCTTTGGTGCAATGTGGCGAGGAATGCCAAGCGTGACCGAGCGAACTCAGTCAAGCTAGGGTGGTGCGGAGAGTGGGCGAGTCTTCGTGGACTTCTTTTCCCATTCTCCTAAAGATCCATCAACTCTTCGCAGCCGTTGGGGGTCATAAGAGTCGGGGACCCTCGGAGAACAGTAATCTATTATCACTTGTTCCCTCAGATCCTACTCTTTATGTACGTGTATCTGTGCTCCCTGAATCTCCATGTCCTGACCTCCACACTTCCGACAATTGCAGATGTACCTCAGAAAACTTTCACTTAATGTCTCATACTCTTCATGAATAATAAACCAATACGAAGTACAACAATATATGTAGGACTTATTTCTACTGTCACTTACATCGTAAAAATATCTCCTCTTCAACTTGAAATAAAACCAATGACAATCCTCATGGTACCCTATATGCGTTCGTGAACTTGCTAAAATACTACTGCGTTGATGTCCTCTTGTAAAAGCTGAAATTCAACAAATGCTTTGATCCATGCTACATTTCCGTGTTGGAAAAGCCCTTTCTTCTCCGTTCATGATAACATCTTACCCTATTCTGCGCAAATCTGTCACATCTACTCTCAAACCCTGTACGTGCGTATGGCGTAGATCAAAGACTTAAACGGCTGACTCCAGTAGAACTTTCGCCAATGATCAATATTGCGGTTGCCCTCCGACAACTGAAGATAGTTCCGGATATACACAAATCATCACCGCATCCGATGAAAACCTCCAAACTGAGATGAAGTCGATGACCTATCGCGTATGAATTCTCCCGGATATTCCTGCATCTACTCGCAAAACTGCATCCTAATGAAAACCAATCAACAAGACCCTAGTCCAACCGCAACAAACAAGACTACAATTGTTGGATGGCAAACGAAATAATAATAACATATTCTAGACCCATTTCCCTAGACGCTTTCGACAACACATCAAACGTTAACCCGCGTTCCACCGTAGTGGTTAGGTCAAAGCTGTCGAGCACGCATATTTCGGCGCGCAAAAGTGTTTGCGATTGCTGCTCATAGTCTACTGTTTCCGGTCGCACCAAGAGACCAACGCCGGCGTTTTACTCTCTCTGAGACACCCCCCCTGCACCCGCCACCCCGAAACCCGGTTCGTACTTCCTCGCCACCTGCAACCGCAAGGGCCAGGTCCCTTACTGTACGTCCCTTGCAAAAGAAAGCGCGAGAAAAGGTGCTGTCCGGCCAGCAGAGAGAAATCGACAGAACGCGATCGCCGTCACAATAGTCTAGACATATGGTCAACAAGGGAACGATCATCGAGCGGGTCGCATCCGTTCATAGTGCTCGGACATGTCCAAACATCCAATTTTCAGGGTGGAGAGTACACAATTAGATGCGTAGGCAGTGCAGCCTCCTCCCTGTACACCACTGATTCCTCGTAGTTCAGCGCCGGGCCCACCTGGTTTGCGGTGGCGAAGGAAGCACATGAAGTACCGTAAGCTACCGAGTTTCCCCCCCCCTCAGAGTGCCGTCATGGTATGCAACGAGAACAAGGAGGAACCAGTAGAACATAGATGGAAGTGGGGGATCGAGGAGATTGCAGTAGTGGACCAGTACACATACCT